GCCTGAGCTGAGTTTCAGAAAGACCCCCTTCCCCCACTTAACACCCATCTCTGATGAGTACCTGGGAGGCTTCCTACTCTCTGGTGCCCTAGTACCACCTATCTGCCCTTCTCCCATCATGTGCCAACCAGGCCTGGTCACTGAGATCAACTGCAGGGCTCAGGGGAGCTAAGGGCAATGACAGAACATTAGCATCCAATTGGTTGCCACTTCTCTGCAGCTGGAAGTTAGTGGTTCTAGCAGAGGGCACCATACTGTATGCTAGTAAGCTCTGTTGGGCAGCAGGAGCCCTCACCCTGGATTTGGACCTATTCCCTGAAGCTGTGTTCTCCCAGGCTACCCTGTGTTTGCTCTAAGAAGACTCAGCCCCTGGAGGTCTGCAGCAATCAAGGTCAGCATTAGACAATGCCCTGTTCTTGTTCTTGTGACCAACACATCCAAATGCACACTGGGGCAGACACAGTGGCTGCCTCCTGAGTGTCTCACGATATTACAAGCTAACAAAAGGATCCTGCTCAGTGGGGGTGTGTGGGTACCTGTTGCAGGCAGGTGGGCTCCATCTATCCCCTAGCAAAAGTCAGGTAATAAGAGCAGCACAGACTACCCTGTTTCTTTTGCCAACGAATGGTTAAGTTGGGGCATGTGATGCTGTCTCGGTCAATGTGACAGAACCCAAGGGGCTTGGCTGAGTCTGAGAAAGGCACTTGAGCTGTGCTGAGGATTTGGGACAAATCCCTTGCTTAGTCTGCCACTAGAAAATTAAATCTATGCACAAACTCCTGGCTAAGGGCACATCTGAGATCTTAAGGTAAGAACTCATTTCTAGCCATCACTAGGGAGGAATTCTGTTGTTTTCAAATAAGGAGTCACGGCAAAGGCATCACATAGCATTACCTGAGAATGCTTCTGTCTCTAGCACAAGCTTCCTTTACCACAGGTACCCGATGATGGTGAATATGGCAGTGGCCAGGAGTGCAGGCTTTGATACCAGATGGCTTAGGTTTAACTTTCTGCTTTGCTTCCTCCAAGCTAAGTTACTGTAAACAAATTATTTAACTTTTGTATGCCTCTGTTTGCTCATTTGTCAAATGATCTAATATCAGCTGTGCTCACTGGTGTCCCAAGCCATTCAAATCAGTAACTTGCTCACTCCCACGGTGTTGGCTTTGTAGCTAGTTACACAGGCTCCAGTTCCATGAAGGCAGGTTGTTTAGGAGGCTGAATCCCAGTCCAGGAAATGCATCAACATGAAGCAGTCAGTGCCTTTGGAGGGAGACAGTTCTAAGGTGCAAGATATCCCTACTACAGCTGCTTGGTCAGGGATAGGCACATGGCCCAGGGAAAATGGCAACCACCAGCCGGTTACTGAGCTGAGGAAAGAAAGGGGAAGCCTGATAGTGGACCAGCCTGGCTGACTCTTCTGCATGTGTGATGGTTAGCTTTATGTATCAACTGTACTGGGCCGTGACGGTAAGGCGTTATTTCTGAGTGTGCCTGGTGGGGGTGCATTTCTGGAAGAGAGGGGCATTTGGATTGGTAGATTGAGCCTAGCTGATGCCTACCCAGTGAGGGTAAGGGCTTGAACGGTGCCAAAAGACAGGAAGACTGAATCTCTCCATGCTGACCACTTGAGCTGGGATATCTGTGTCCTACCCTTGTGCTCCTAGGTCTTGGACTAGAGTCAGAACTCCTGTCTCTTGACTTACAGGCCTTCCTGGGTTTCTAGCTTGCCAGTGGCAGAGTGTGGGACTTGCCTGCCTCTGTAATCACATGGGCTAGATCCTTAAACCAATCCTATTCCCTATTTCCCCCTGTGATGTTTTTCTAGAGAACTCTAACTAGGAAATAAAGATTCTGCCATTGTGAGAGGAGACAGAAACGATGGGTGGTGTGTAAAGCAGCCACACACTGGTTCCTGGCACAGGTAATGTGGTTAAGGTTAGCAGGGGTTGTGAGATGGCTGGATCATGTTAACAGACTGTCTGGATATCCCCAAATTATCTACATGACTCTAAAACTGGAGTTGCTCTAGCTGCAGAGAGCTGGGGGAGATGTAGTCATGTACAACAACAAAAATTGGTGACATTCAAGGTTTTTCTAAACTACTAAAAATATGCCATAAAAAAGGTTGGTTTGGATAGCTTAAAGGGAAGGCCAAAAGCTTCATCACACACCAGCTTTAAGACAGAGGAAGAGGTCATGATCTAAGGAATATGGAAAAGCACTTAGGGCCTCCAGAAGGGAATGTCAGCCTACCTGCTGAGGTCATTTTAGCTCCAGCTTCCCATGGCTGTAACAAAATACTGAAAACATGAACTTGAAAGGAAGGAAAGCTTCAGAGGTGTTGATTCATAATCACTTGTGATGGTGGTAATGGTGGGGGTTTGGCACACCATGGCACACCATGGCAAAAGTGTGTGGTGCAGGCTTGTTCGTTCATAGCATCTGGAAAACACACAGCCAAGGGGCCAGGGTCTCAGTATCTCCCCCAAAGGACACATCCCCAAGGACTTAACTTCCTCCCACTAGGCTCCACCTCTTAAAGAGGTTGCTGAACAAGTCTTTAACCCATTGACCTTTGAGAAATATTCAAGACCCGAAGGATAGCACTCAGCAAGTCTTGCTCAGGTTGTGTCCTAACCTCCAGAACTGTAAGACAACAGATGTGCTGTCTGTAGTAATTTGTTACAACAGCCACAAACAACAAATACTAACACCAACATCCTAACAGCCATGTCAGCAATGTGGCCCTTTGACTTCAGCCCAAGGGAAAAACAGCAAGTAAGTGTTTCTTTGGGCTCCAAAGACCTGAACTCTAAGGTGCGATTCAAAATCAGGGCAGAAGCTGAACATTCTCTTTTGTTAAAGATTCCACTGTGAACATTATGAAATCTCTGTAAGTGTGCCTGAAAAGCTTCTGCAGGCTGAATAAGACACATTTTCCTTGTCACTGTGGGTTTCCATCCCTGTTGCCTGGTCTGATGCTCTGGGTAGTGAGACATTGGCTTTCTCAGGATGAGGCCCCTCTCCAGTCAGATATTTTCTAGGGTCAGCCTTCTTGAAGAGTGGCCAAGCCTTTTGAAGTCACATGGAGCACAGAAACTTTTCCCATGTCCCACTTTCCATTTTGCCTCATTTTTCAGATACAAGGGAAATGGCCACACTAAGGAAGATATAAATAGCAGGCCAGATGGACAAATGGGAGGCTGACAGGTCCACTGGCCAACCTTCTAAAGTGTCCTAGGCAAATATGTTCATGTTATTTTTTTCCCCCACGATCTAGAAAAAACTCACTGAAGCAGGTGAATTAAGTTAAAATGTATTCAATTAAAGAGCCCAGAAGACTCCAAGGCTCTGAGGGGAATGTGTGTTAGGTCATTTCATTCACGAGACTAGAAGTAATACTACTAAAGGAAAATGGAAAGATAAAGGCCTTGGGGAGGTCAGGTTTCAAGTTTCTCTCTGAGGCTTTTCCCACTTATCATCAAGCTGGAAAATGCTGGAACAGATTGTTCACAAGAAGGGCCACAGGCTAGATGGTGTGGTATTCATTCCCGGAACTGAACTCCAAGCCAAGAGGTCGAGTAACCGGCAGCTGGATCAATTAATCAAGTGATCAGTATAACTACCACCTGTCAGGTTTAGGCATACTGAGCAGAGAAATCTGCACTTGGCCCTCAAGGAGCTCAGACTGAAGTTTACACAGCCTAAGAGCAAAGCCCCTCTCACCCAGCAAAAGGAAGATGGCTGGGGCCCAGGGCTCCGTGCTTATGGCTGCTCATGCTAAGTTATTCACTTAATTCAGCTATCGTGAGCCTTTTATCTGCCACTGCCACTTAAATGTCTCTCCCCAAAGTTCATGTGTGAGAAACTTAATGGTCAAAGTTCATGTGTTGCAGGTTTTGGAAGTAAACTGAGATTGAGTTATAACGGCCAGGCCTGCCCACAGTGGCATGGGTGGCTTCAAAAGAGTTAGAGACTAGGGCTAGCATATTTACTCTGTCTCCTCATGTCCTTTGCCAAGTCACAATGTGGCAAGAATACCTTACCAGACACCAGCGCTGGGCCCTTGGAGGGTCCAGACTTCAGAACTGAGAGCTAAATAAACCTCCATTCTTTACAAAATACCCTGTTTGTGGTACTGTGTGGTGGCAACAGAAACTGCCCAAGGCAACCGTATGGGGAATTCTGGCCCAGTTTACACTACCTGTAAAGTGTAGGTGCCGAATAGCCCAGTCATGGAATGCCCAGGGATGGTGCTTTAGTCATGTAGAGCTGAGTCCATACGACAGAACCTGCTTGATGAGCTTCAAAGACCAGCAAACGAGATCACTGCTCAGTGCAGAGACACTGCCATCTACGAAAGGCCCAAGACACTCGGCATTCAAGGTGGTACAGGGCAATCAGATGTTGAGCAAACAAGACCTGGTATCTCCAGACACAACTTTTCCTGTCCTTTAGACTGAGAGGGAAATGGTAGCCCCTGAGCTGACCCAACGTTTGATAAGTCTTACCAGCAACCATTACCCTGAGAAGTTGTGAAGGACCTCAGGAGAAGGCCAGACACCTGGAGGAATGAAGGCTCCAGGGTGGCCCTCCTTTGCTGCGGCTTGACTAGCCTACGAACGGTGGCTAGCGCTGCTGGCAGTCTCCATTAGTTACACTTTTTTATTACTTGCCTCTTCAGTCTTGCCGTAACTTGTAACGACACCATGTGTGGTTTCCAGAGTCCAGGGAGTCTTACAAACATTGGTACAGCTTTGCGACATCCAGTTGTTGGAAGGCAATCCACAGCCTGTAGCCACAGCAGGGCAGCTGCGCATGACAGGGGCGGAGGTACCACCTGTAAAGAAGCCGCAGTGGGGACTGCGAAGTGACAAGAACATGCAGGGAGACCGCTTTAAGCAAACTCAAAGCAAGTTCAGTGTTTTGAAAACAAGCAAGCAAACAAACAAAAAATTTTCTGATAGATGTCACTGGGTGAAAGAATCAGGCTGGGATAGAAACAAAATATATTTATTAGAAATAGTACACAGTGGCACACCTTACACTTCGGAGCCCCGCCCACCTCTGACGGTATGTCCCCTCTGGGCAGTGCTTGGTGCTATCTAGTGTGCTCTTGAGGGAAAGGAGGCCACACATGTATCGAGTGCATTCAACTAATGTAGTTAGAGTCAGTGAGCTACTCAAGGTGTTCCAGTCAGAATTCCAACCTCAGTCAGAGAACCCAGGTGTCCAGGGGCTTCAGCAGATGCTGCAGACACTGCTCTTCAATTGGCTGGGGTTCTCGTTTTCCTTTGTGACAGTGGTAGGCATCTCAAACTGGAATACTTAGGAACGGCTGAATTTGGTGAGTGGGTTTGTTCCTAAGGGTCTCAGCTCTCCATTTCTACTGGCCAGCTGACAGGTTGTAGGGGGAGAGAGGTCAGAGACTGGCATGCAGCTGGTGCTCGTGGGAGACAGGAAGAGGTATGGCCGATATTCATTATTGCTAGATGGCTGATTGCTTTGGGACAGCCCCTCACCCTCTCAGGGTCTGTTCTGCCCGGACTGGTCCCAAATTCCCAGGATCAACAGATTCTCCTGTCTCCAGCTCCAGAGTAGCTGAAGCCACAGGCGGTGGCGCTGTGCTTAGCAGGACATGGATTTCTGTTTTCTAGCCATGGTCTACAAAAGCTGAGGAACAACTGGATGGAAGAATGAGAACTAAGGGCAGGCATGGATGCTGAAGGGAGGAGGGGCTAGGAAGACGGACATTCCTTGGAATACTGTCCCTGTGGGCAGTGGCCTGGGCACTGCCATCCACCATCAGTTCAGATACCACTCAGTGCAGAGAACCACACATTTCTCTACATGTCTTAACTTCTCAGGGCCTTGCATTTTGCAGCTCTCTTTGTGCTTAGCTGAGGGTAGCTGGAAAGAAATGTGGTTATGGAGGCCTCTAATAGCCTCTGAATGATAGTTTACAAAGCAAATAAAACAAGAACAAAGCACCAAAGCGAGGTATCTAATCTCAGCACCCAGGAGGCAGAGGCATGAGTTCAAGGCCAGTCTGGGCTACATGAGATCCTGTTTCACAAAACCCAAAACAAAGCAAAACAAATAAAAACAACAACAGAACCAAAAAACCAAAGCCAAAATAAACAACAACAAATACCAAGCAAAGGTAAGACCTCTGCCCCCATGCTTCCGTTCTTAGCTGGTCAATTCTCCATATTCATTTTTATGCCCTGGAGCTCTTCCCAGACCCTGCACCTCCACATGTAGCAGTGATAGAAAACCGGAGCTCTGTCAGCCCTCTGTGTCAGCTCTGTGTGCCCTCTGTCCTGCCCCCATCACCAGCAGTAACTTCTTCTATTGAGAGGCCAAGTCATTCCTCTTCTACATCCCTGGCAAGAGCTGTAACAGTCAGGAAAAAAAAAAAAACCCTAGGATACAGACAAGAACAGATAGCCAGGCGTTGGTGCCGTACGCTTGTAATCCCAGCACTCGGGAGGCAGAGGCAGGCAGGTCTCTGTGAGTTGGATGGAGGCCAGCCTGGTCTACAGAGTGAGTTCCAGGACAGGCACCAAAACAATACAGAGAAACCTCATCTCAAAACCAACCAACCAAACAAACAAAAAACCAACCAACCAAACAAACAAACAAAAAAAACCCCCAAAAACAAACAAACAAAAAGAAAAAAAAAAAGAATAGACTTGGCTGGCTGGTCCTCAGCAACCTGAGGCTACAAAGTGCCTCTACTTACAGGGAAACTAAAAGGTGTCTGGAGATCAGCACAGAGATTGCTCTGCCAAGAGTTCCTAGATTCCTAAATAGCACCCTGACAATACCCAGAGACAAACCAAACTCTCATGCCTTAACTGTGGCCTCTCCTACACAGTTCCTGAGATCAGCCCTGAAGAAACATCACCCAGTGGTGAGGGGCAGAACTCCTTCCGGTGAAGGCTGGGCAAAGCAGACACCTGGAGACGGGGGCAGGGGGTGGATATCATCAATTATGTTAACACAACAGGGAGCCAGCCCAAGTACCAGCTGTCATAGGAACACATTCATCAGAAATGAGGTTCTGGGCCCTCAACTTCCACCTGGAGATGAAGAGGGCCTGTTTCAGTAGCTCTTGTGGAGAGGACAAGGGGCAAGGAATAGTGTCCTAGCCCTCTACATGGCTGTACATCAGTTCTGGAGAACTGTGAGCATGTGCAAACTCCATCTCTGCTCCGTTCCAGCTATTCTAACTCACCTGATCCGAGGGTCAGACATGAAGTTCCTAGGAGTCTCAGGGGATCTGTACGGAGCCACAGCCAAGAACTACAGACAGAGCCCGACAAAGGTGGAGTCTGTAGCCCCATGAGGCTACATTAGCTTGAGAATTAGTGCTGCTGCACCCAGCTGCCACCATTAGAGGGATGGAGGGAGGGTCAGGATCCAGGTCCTCTAAGGATAGGGGCTGGGCCAGCAGAGTGGCTCAGACAAGCAGGCAAAGATTCACTGTAACTATGGCAATCATTCTTAGGGGTTGCTGTGAGCATGGCCCTTGGTCAAAGGACCAGTACAGGGCTGTTTGGCACTTAGAACAGTAATGGGTATTTGTGGACACACAACTGTTTGAGAGAGGGGCACCCTCATTTGTTATGAAGTGCATATTTGTTTGTCCAAGGAAAATAGCAAAAAGCTTCTAGAGCATTGGTCTTGACCTGTGGGTTGGGGACCCTTTCCTGCATGTCAGATATTTATATAATGATTCATAACAGTGGCAAAATTACAGTTATGAAATAGCAATGAGATTATTTTATGGTTGGGGGTCACCACATGAGGCACTCCCAGCATTAGGAAAGTTGGGCGCCACTTTCAGTAGAGCACTGAGGGAGGGGCCATGTTGCCTCTTAGGAAACCAGCAGGGTATTAGGAGACAGAGCCACCATCACCCCTCCTAATAACGTCTTTCATTAGGCAAATGTAAAAGGCCCAACAAGGACCAAGTGTGTTTGGAGCCAAAACATGACTTATAGTTCTGTCCACCCAGAATCCCAAGGGACATACCTTCCAGTCTGTAGAACTGTGCAAATGTGCAAGGAGCTCACCAGCACAGGCTGCTTCACACACAGAAGAGACTTGTGTTGAGTTCTATGTGTTGGGCAGACATGTGTGTGAATGGGACTGTCAATCAATAGCAGGGCAGAAGGTGCTGTGGACAATTGTCTCAGCTCTTATCAGCTGGGACACCAGGGATGTACCCAGGCTGTGTGGTTAATCAGCATGCCAGCTGGCCTCCAATGGACTCTCAGAAAGGAAGGTACCTAAGTGTTTCTTTATACTTGTGAGGAATCAAATAGGGATGGTGAGAGCTATACACTGTCATTAAGTCCTCGGTTACATAGAACAGAGCATACTATTTCCCTAATCATTGTTTCCAGGTTGCTAAGAAGCAAAATCTGCTTTTGTCTTTCTGTTTTGTAGGGTGTTGTTTTATTGGGGGTGGGGTGGGTAGGCAGCTGGTAAGGACAAAGTTTTGAATAAAGCAAAGCTAGAGCAGTTTTCCTAGAGGAGGAAGAAGAAGAGACATGGTGATTGAAGTGCTGTTTGTCATGTGTAGGCAGCAAAACGAGACTGGATTGGCACCACTCTGGAATAAACGAGACTAGACTGGCACTACTCTGGAATCTCACAGAAGAGGGCCTGGGTTTGAGACCCAGTGTGTGAGAAGTGGAGCCTGCTTCTCTAGAACCTTCCCATTGGGAACAAGGATTCCTGAACATGGGCACCAGACAGGTTTGCATCTGAGATGGGGACATGGTGGAGCCAGCTCTGCTTCTCCATGGAGTGCAGATCCACTTGACTTAAGCCTTCCTTGGAAATCCAGATGGCTAGATGGTGGGCACAGCAGGTGTGGTGGACAGTGAGCAGGCTCTTCCAGGACTAACTTCAGGCCAAGTGGCAGGTGCTGTTGCTGGGTCTTCTATGTCTCAAAGTACTTGTAGATCTGGGCTACATACTGCATCACACTCTGCCAGTCAGGCCGGTCCGTGTACAGCATCTCACTGAGCTCCTGCAGGGGAAGGGAAAAGTACAAGAGGGACATCACAGACTCCTTTTTACCAATTGACTACTCCAGCTCACAGTTGATACTGACTGGAAACCTTCCACTGACCAGGATAAAGGTCTGTGTTATGCTTGTCAGTGGCTTTACCTGGGAAGTATATCCCTTTCAAAGACCAGAGACATGACTTCCTATTGCTTTTATCTTTAAACCCCATTACAGCTTTTTCTAGTCAAGTCACCCGAACTTCTACTTTAGAAAATGGTTTCTAATTTTCTAATGTGCATATGAATATGTCTAGTTCCCTAGGCTCCCACTGCAGTGAACATGTTTTCACACAACCGGTGTCTTTTCAACGGACACTCTTGTGTATGGTTCCCCATAAGACTGTACTTCGGTGGGCACTCACTATCTGTAGTATCCCCTAGCTTCCACTCTACTGTACTTTTGCACTGGGTAGCATTATCTCTTTCTGTCAGATGAGTTCCTGGAGAGCTTGTCTTAGGGATACCACAGATTCCTTGAGCCAACTTAAGCCACATGCTTTACCAGAGTTATTATCACTTAGTATCTGGACTTTTCTTTTTTTCTTTCTTTTCTCCCCCTCTAATTGAGTAAATTTTTTTTTTTTTGCTATTTATTTAGTTTTATTTATTTACTACTTTTTGGGGCTAATTTTGCAAGTAAGCTTGCTTAACAAGCACCTGTAAGGGCGAGGCCAAACATCGAGAAGACAGGTGAGAGGGCTGGGTGCCTGGCAGGGTACTCCACCAAGCTCTTTAGAACACGCTTAATTATTAACGTTGGGATCGGATGTGGTTGTAACAAAACATAAGCCAGAGGCAGAGATACAAAGGGAAAAGAGGCTGAAGAGAGCACATCCTCTCCTGGGTAGCTGCCAACCAGCCACAGAATGAACATCTGAACATTTCTCTCCTGCTCTGCTCCCTGGCCACACAAAAATGATCACCATATGGTAATCCACTAGGAGGGACACAAGGGAAGCAAGAGGGACCTTCCATACAGCTCTGTGCACAAATTTTTTCTTTTTGATTTTTTGAGACAGGGTTTCTCTGTGTAGCTTTGTAGACGAGGCCTTGAACTCACAGAGATCGGCTGGCCTCTGCCTAGAGAGTGCCGGGATTAAAGGCAGGCACCACCACCACCTGGCTTCAGAAAAATTTCTTAAAGAAAAAGTCTTACATCAGAGGTTGCTAATGACAGCACGGACACAGGATAGAGAAAGACTGAGCTCACTGCAGAGGCAGAGGCATCTCTGTGAGTTTGAGGCCAGCCTGGTCTACAGAGCGAGTTCCAGGACAGCCAGGGCTACACAGAGAAACCTGTCTTGGGGAATAAGGGGGGGGGGAGAGACTGACAGTGCCAACTTGGAGGCAAATGAGCTCTGAGAGAAAAGGGCAGCCGGAAGACATGCCTACAAACTCAAGAGAGACAGACAACTTGCCTTTCTGTAGAAGGGGTCTTTAGTTTTAGATGATTTGAAAGTGCAGTTACTAGTCACAATTTAATCCATTTCATATTAGCAATTACTGAATTAAAAATATTTTGTTACATTATTAAAATCTTTGAAGAAATGTTTTGTACAGTTCAGGAGGAGTGAGGGTGTCTTAGTAATAATTTCACCACACATGAATATTGTTTAAATTAGCAGTTAACACCTCAAACCCAGGCCCACATAATTCCATCAAACACATACAGAAGAACTAATACCAGTTATTCAGTCTCCAAAATGGAAGATGAGGGAACATTTTGCATCTCATCCTGTAAGGCCAGATTAGCCTACAACCAGAGCTAGTCAAAGACACTGCAAAAAAACTGTAAGTTTTCAGATAAATGGACATAAAACTACTAGCAAATTGAAAAAAAAATTAGTAGACTGAATTCATTAATCTATAAAGTATCATGATCAAATGAGGCTCATCCAAGGAATGTGAAGCTGGCTCAATGCTTTTAAATCAATAACATATTAACAGACTGAGAAAAAATGTGATCAACAAACTTCAGAATCTATTCATGATAAAAAAAATTCTAAAAAAAACCCCAAACCATAACAAAACAAAACAAAAACAGAGAAGTTGACTTGTTTTATACACTACAGGGTATATATCCCCCAAATTCAATAGCTGACATCACTTAATTGTGTAAGATAATGCTTTCCCCCTCAAATCAAGACTAAGATGAAGACTGGCATTCTTACTTGTCCTGTTTAATACAGTAGTTGAAATTTTAGCTAATGTATAAACAAGAAATAAAAGGCATACAGATTACAAAGGAAACAATAAGACTTGTTTTGCAGAAGCTATAGAGGTCAACAACAAAGTCTTCTACAAGGTTAGCAAGTTTCCATTACACAGCCCTACAGATGTCACTTTCTTGTATGCCAGAAATGAAAACCAGGGATTTTTAAGTAGAAAACAAATACTAGCTACAACCCTTTCCAAGCTTGTTTGGTTTTAATTTTATGTGTTTTCCCTGCATATATGTGTATGTACCACATGTATGTCTGGGACCCAAGATGAGGGCATCAGATCACTTGAAGTGGAGTTCCAGGCCATTGCGAGCTGCCTTGTGAGTGCTAGGAACCAAACCTGAGTCCTCTGGAAAAGTAGCCAGTGCTCTTAACCATTGAGCTCTCTCCCACCCCCTACTTTTAAAGCCCAAATCTACATAGTATGTAATTCTATATGCAGAAAATGATAAAACATGACAGAAAGCAAATATTTAAATGAGGGACATATGTCTATGAGTTTAAAGATAATATTGTTAAGACTATTAATTATTCCTAGTTTGATATATAGATATAATGTAACCCCAATCAAAATCCCAGTAAGTCTTTTTTTGTTTGTTTCTTGAGACAGGGTTTCTCTGTATAGCCCTGACTGTCTTGGAACTCTTCTGTAGATCAGGTTGGGCTCAAAATCACAGAGATTGGCCTGCCTCGGTCTCCTGAGTGCTGGGATTAAAGGTTTATGCAATTTAATCCCAATTCTAGCAAGTCTTATTTTTTGGTGGATGTTGACAAATGATTTTAAAATTTATGAATGCAAAAATAACAAAACAGCCCAAAGAATAACAAAGGGGCAAGATTTCAACCCTGGGAAGGGAGAGGTAAGGAAGTTCTTTCTCCCTGTTACCTGCGCACTGGATGGCCACACACAAAACAAACATGCAAATGAACAACTAATGTTTACTTTGCAGCTCACACAAAAAGGGATCAGAGACCACGATGGAAACTTTTGAAAGCTCTAGAAAAGATACAAGAGCAAATTTGAGTTTGTAACCTTGGGTTGGGTGATGAGCTTTTGACTACATCAAAGCATAACCTTGAAAGAAAATGAATTCTAAACTGGGTCAAAATTAAAAACTTTGCTGAGAAAGATACTGTCAAGAGAATGAAAAGATAACTCTCAGACTGGGAGACAATATCTGAAGATCAAGTATGATTAAGGACTTGTATTCTCTCTCTCTCTCTCTCTCTCTCTCTCTCTCTCTCTCTCTCTCTCTCTCTCTCTCTGTGTGTGTGTGTGTGTGTGTGTGTGTGTGTGTGTGTGTGTTACAAGTGCATGCTGTGGCATACCTGTGGAGGTCAGAGAGCAACCTGTAGAAGTCAATTCTTCCTTTCCATCCAGTGATTGATCTCAGGCCATCAAGCTTGGTGGCGAGAACCTTTACCTGCCGAGCCATTTTGCTGGCCCATAGTGCAATTACTGACAAGAGGATAGTGCAGGTGTCTTTTTGTTTTTCTTTTAAATTTTATTTTATGGGTGTTTTGCCTGCATTTATGCAGGTGTGTGGATGGAGGTTTTTTGTTTTGTTTTGTTTTCTTAAACAGGAAATACAAAGGAGCTCCAAGTATCATTAAATCTAGAAGATACCTTCTGCCCCCCACTCAATGCTAAGGCAGGCCTTTCTCAGGGGAGAATTTTGGTTAAAGGCACCAGTTAATCCTAGTCACTCAGAGAAGAGAGGGGAATTCAGCGACATTCCTGTACCCTGTGTACTAGACAGCTGTAGGTGCAGAGGGTAAGAACCCTTTGCAATTGATTGTCAACTTGGAAGCAAGAAGATACTTCTCCAGGTGGTTTGGCATAACTAACCTAGGCATGGGTCTAGTACCTAATTAATGGGATGCAGTAGATAGAATAAATAAAATGGAGCACAGAAACTCCCCAGCCAGAGTGAAAATGAACCTGACTTTTAAAACACTGGATAAGAGTTTAGTACTCTGGTGCTGATGAAGTTACAAAGAGCATTAGAAATGCACCAAAGATGCTGGAGAGATGGCTCAGTAGTGGACAAGAGCACCTAGGTTATGTTCCCAGCACCACACAGCAGCTTACAATTGCCTATAACTCCAGTTCCAGGAGATCTGATGCCATCTTCTGGGCACCAGGCAACTATGCATGCATGTACACACGCACATACGCCAGCACACAGGCCAAAATCTCATAAAATAAAAATAAATGAATCTAAAAACAAACAAACCCAAAACCAGAAGTGTACTATGGTTTCTTATATTCTTTATTTCTTGCTACATACTTGCTATTAATAGTCTATGACCTGGCACTGTTCTAAGGGCCTTCGGTAATAAAAAGTGAAGGTACCTGTGCATCTAGGTTGATAGCAGGATTTGCTCAGAAGAGCGGAACTATGGTGGTACCCTGGTGTTCAGCAATGGATGGACAGATGAGCAGAATGTGGTAAAACCATATCATTTGCCTTAAAAAGGAAGGAAATTCTAATAGATGAATTTTGAGGACCTCATACTATGTCACATAAGCCAAACATGAGACTGAGAAGGTAGACAAGTACACTAACACGGGGTGTCTGAAATAGGTGAGTTCCCAGACTCTGAGAACAAAATAGTGGCTGCCAGGCCGAGGGCGGAGGTGGGGAGTTAATGTTTAACAGATTCAGAGTTTCGATTTTGCAAGATAAGAATTCTTCATGGGGAGGGTGGCAATGATTGCACCACAACGTGAAGGTACTTCATACCACTTAAAATGATTAAGACGGTAAAACTATAAAAAGTAACTGACCTCACTTACCGGACTCTCAAATGTTTAGAAAGACAGTAGGTAAGGCTTTGGAGTTTTTGCTTTCGGGAGTTCAGTCTTGTGCAGTGATTATCCTGTACATGCCCTGAGTAAGCAAGCATTTTGTCATGGACAAAATGACTAAGGCCATAGTGAACCCTCACTAAGCCACAGACAGTCCTGGAGGACACACCACAGCGGCTCTGAAGCAGTAACAATGATGCCACGAACATTTGACCAATTCTTCCTGTATGGACTGTGATGAGGGCTTAAAATACATTTCATAGTGACTGAGCAGGAATGTGTTCTAAAGCTTGGAGTACACTATGGAGTTTCACTTTGAAGAAATCTCCCTTGCTTATGTGTTTACCCCCCAAACCTGTATGAGCTTACATAGATATGGATACACAAAAACTTATTTTTTACAATGTATTTTTATTATTTTTAATTATGTGTACATGTATGTGTTTGAATATGGGTTTCTGTAAAAGAGTGCAACTACTGTAGAGGCCAAAAAAGGGGGTGTTATATTCCCTGGAACTGAGGTTACAGACAGTTGGGAGCTGCCCAACATGGGTGCTGGGAACCGAACTTGGGTCCCCTACATCTCCTCTGAGCCTTCCTTCCCTCTAGCTGGGTTCTACTTCTTAAATGTTTGGTGTTCTATTTTTTGAGTAAGATTTAGAGGAAATACTTATATTTGATATTTGAGGGATATTGGTATTTCCACAGAACTGTCCATTCCATTTCAAATTTATATCGGTATGATATCATTCCTGGCACTGATTCCTCCATAGTTCTTTCACTTTTATTTGTCCAACTCTTCCATCCTTGGAAGGCTATGGACTTCTCACTGCTATTTCATCTTATATGTTCTTTTTTCTCAATGATTAAATGTGGATTAAAACAACAAAAAACAACATCGGCCAAGCATAGTGGCAGTGCATGCCTCTAAACACAGCACTTGAGAGGCAGAGGCAGGAGGAACAGAAGTTCAAGATCATTCTCAATTACATAGAGATATGAAAACCAGCCTTGTCTCTCTCTCTCTCTCTCTCTCTCTCCCTCTCTCTCTCTCTCTCTCTCTCTCTCTCTCTCTCACACACACACACAGGTTATTCTTGGCATTTTTAAACTACACCCAACCAGAAGTAATAACAGTAATAAATAACCTTTGGCCCAAGTTCTACTAAAAGATTATGTAAGAAGTTTCAAGAATGGGAAAACCAATTCATAGCTGCTTACATCACATTTTTGTTGTTGTTGTAAATAAGAAGCCCAAAAGTTGACTCCAGATTGATTACCACTCAGTATTGTTTCTTTTGTCCACTCCATAGTATTTCTTTACTTTTATTTTTGAGACAAGGTTTCATGTGGCCTCCAATGGCCTCCAACTTACTGTGTTTGTTGGAGTTTCCATTCTACCTATACATTAACCAATAAATGCTCTCACTGCTTTTCCCCCCCATCTTTTATTGTCTATTTAGTCTGTGGGGTAGTTTCCTAATATTCACTTTCCATTTACCATCTTTCTTTCTTGATGTATCTAACAAGTTTGGTAACCCATCCATTGTGTTTTTTATTACAAATTTTCAATTCTAGTCACTTTGCAACCTTCCTGGTGGCAACAAAAATATTCTAAAAAGATACTTGTGCCGGTCTCTTTGGATATTGGCCTATTTAAACATTGGTCCCCAGGAAATTGTAATTTTTTTTCCAGAAATCTCTTGCTTCGACAAGGGAAGGATGAAGTCTAGCACCAGAAGGAGGAGTGTCAGGTCTGTCACTTTGTGAGATCACCTGGCAGAGCAGACCTGAGACTAGACAACGGTAGGTATTGATTAGCAGAAGAACACTCCAGGACTGCTTAATTACACATCTCTTGCCCTCTGTCTTGTCAGGGTCCTGAAGATGTAGTGTTTGTGTAGTGGGCACTGGGCCTCTGTGTTCCTAGTTTGGCCACATTGTATAAATCCCCCCTCCATTTTCATGATTTATCTGTTTAATTGGCTTCCCGAGGATGGTCAAGCTTAGATTTTTTTTTTTTTAGATCTAGGAAGCTCTGACTCTAACAACTCCAGTAACAGGCTTGAGTCTTTTCTAGATCTCCCTCCCTTTATATTTATAGCACAATGTCCCTCCCTGGTTTCTGTTCCACTTTTTGTCTTTTTTGTCTGTCCGTGTGTGTCCCCCCCCCCCCCCCCCCCCCCGCCATCTCATTTTTGGAGCTGGAGGGAGTAAGTCTTGGATCCAGGAAACTAGGACTAGGTATGTATGACCACATGTGTTCTCTTAAACATTTTAGTATGTGTGCATGTGTTGTGTAGGTGCACAGGTGTCCCAATGTCAAAAGTTGACATCCAGTGGATTCCTTAGTCCCTCCCCACTTTTTGTGACAGATGCCCTTAGGCTGACAGGAGCTCACAGGCCAGCAAGAACCTCCCTGGTACTGAGATTACACGCCTGGCTTTTTTATATGGTATTGTAGATTTCAACTCATGTCATCATGCTTACCCAGTAGGCATTTCACCCACTGAGCCATCTCCCCTGTGCCTCTTACCTGCCTGATAGGTTTAAACAGTTAATATTAGCTACACTCACTTCTGGCAGGCAATCCTCTCTCTTATTTGGTGTACTGGCTGGCTAGCTCAAGTCAGTCCTGTTCTTGTCTGCTTTGTAATTTTGGCTTGTGCATATTTCAGTAGCCATTAAAGGACAGGAGCTTCCTGCATTGCAGGGTATTAGCTGAATGCTCCAGATGGAAATGTGGATTCCTTTTTACCCCACCCCACCCTCAAGGCAGAGGCAAACCTTACCACCTCTCACTTTAAGTTTCTGATATGTAGTTTGTTGTGGTTGTTTATTTGTTTGGTTTTTTTGTTTGTTTGTCTGTTTTTGAGATAGGGCTTCTTTGTGTAGCCCTGGCTGTCCTGGAACTCACTCTGTAGACCCAGGCTGTCCTCAAACTCAGGGATCTACCTGCCTCTGCCTCCTGAATACTGAGATTAGAGGTGTATGCCACCACTATCCAGCTCTTTTTTATACTTTCTTGAAAACTCAGTTATACTTGACATTTTCTTTTTGCTTCTGAAAAAATTACCACACTTTACATTTATTTAGTATGTATGTGTACAAACACCAAGCACATAAGGAGAGGTCAGAAGACAATTTTTTGGGCTTGGTTTTCCCCTTCAACCCTGTGAATGAGCCCCAGAGATTGAATTCAAGTCACTAGGCTTGGGGGTTAAGTGCTGTTCCCTGCTGGCCAGTCCACTATTGTTTTTGAGACAGATTCTCACTACATAGCCTTAGCTATCTTCGAACTCACTCAGTAGACAAGGCAGGCCTTGAACTCAGTAGACTTCTGCCTGCCTCTGCCTCTTCAAGAGCTGGGACTAAAGATGAGTGCCACAATACCCTGGTGACTTTTTTTAAAATGACATTTCACTGAGATTTCTTGGTGATTTAAACAAGAAAATCCTAAAATAATGTAGCTCACTGTTTCGCTAGAACTGAATTTTATTAATAATAATGAAATCTTAATTTTAAAACCTGGCTGCTTACTGGGATGTATCCCTAGTACACAGATGGACTTCGGGAGCCCATTCCCCATGGAGGGATACTCCCTTCAGCCTAGAGACACGAGGTGGGGGGGGAGGGGGCTAGGCCCTCTACCCCAAATGACCTGACTGACTTTGATGATCTCTCATGAAAGGTCTCACCCTCCCTGGGGAGTGGATGGGGGATGGGATGGGGGATGGGATGGGGAGTGGGGGGGCATAGGAGAGTAGGAGGGAGAGGGAACTGGGATTGATATGTAAAATAAGAAAAAAAATTAAATAATAGTTTTTAAAAAATGGTTGCTTTTCCAAAGGATCTGAGTTTGATTCCCAGTACCTACATGGCAGCTCACAGTCACCTCTAAAGACATCTTCTTTGGCCTAGGCACACATGGGGTATACAGACCACATGCAGGCAAAACACCCACAAACACAAGTAATAATAATTAAAAACAAATAAACAAAAAACCCCAAGTCTACATCTTTTTCAGACCAACTGGATAACTTTGTATAAGGAATCGTGAGAATGGATTTAAGTGTCCTTTACTGGTTTAGTGGGTAGCAGGAAGTTCTCTCTCATGAAGTAGAAAAAAAAAACATCAAAAAGATACAAAATAGGATACTTACCAGGCTGGGTTTGATGCCTACACTTTCAGCTGCTTCAAATGCCAACAAGAGATTCCTTTTCTGTATCACAAAGACAAAAACAATGGATGAGAGAAGGACAGTGCCGGCACCCCACAGATTGGTTACTACAACACAACAAGAAGTGCCATGTCAACCGTGCAGACCAGTTCTGTCTCAGGAAGGAAAGGTTAGAAGGTTATGGCTGCCACAGGGGAAAACGACATTGACTGACACCTGACTGAAGACAAAGTTTTGTTGCTTAGGTCATTAGTGGCATTTTCAAGATTTACAACATTCACCACACTGTGTTGTATTGTTTTTTTTTTTTTGCAGGACTATGTCACAAATGATAATCAAACTGGGTGTGGCACTGGTGTACTTTTTTTTTTTTTTTTTTTTGGCACTGATGTACTTCTGACTGAGGCTGGAGGATTGAGATTGAGGCCAGCCCGGGCTACATAGTGAGACTTGGTCTTAAAATAACTATCAAAGCTGGACAGTGGTGGTGAACGCCTTTAATCCCAGCACTCAGGAGGCAGAGAGGCAGATGACTATGAGTTTGAGATCAGCCTGGTCTACAGGAGCTATTCCAGGACAGCTCTGAAAACCAAGAGAAACCCTGTCTCGAACAACAAAATCAAAACAAAAAACCAAAATTATCAAAATCATGCTTGAAGTAGTTACATATAACCAAATGAAAACCTGTTTCCTCTCCCACCCTAATCCCCAAGAGAACTGCTTTCCAGTTTGTCTTTATTTCCTCTAATGACTCCTTGGTGACTGCAATCTTCTCTCTCTCTCAATCTCTCTCTCTCTCTCTCTCTCTCTCTCTCTCTCTCTCACACACACACATTTTAAATTGACTTCTGTGTGAGTGCACTCACACCATGGTGAGCCTATAAGATCAGAGGACAATTTGTTGAGAATTAGTCCCAACCTTTGTTCTAAGGATTATTTGTAAAAGGCATTCTTGATTGGTCTAAATAATAAAAACTCAGAGTCAGATCTAAAGGAAAATGCTGAGAGATCAGAGAGAGGGAACAAGCCAAAGCCACCTTTACCTCATTGGCTTCTCAACAGAAAAGAGAGTGAGTTCCCGTTTCTCCTCATTTATATCCTCTCTATGCCTAGCCATCTCTGTCTCTGCCCAGCCATCTCACTTCCTGTCTATCTGTACAGACCTCCAGACTTCTATGGCAAGCTCCACCCTCTGATCTTCAGACAAGCTTTATTTGTACAAGCAAGATGTCACCACATTTGTTTTCTCCCCTATAGTTTGTGCTGGCTCCTGGCTTCTCTTACTGAGAAGACTATCCCTCATCATCTGGCTTTTGTTTTTGTTTTATTCACTCTGGTGTTTGTGTAAAATTCCTAACTTCTTGCCGCCTACTGCTTTTCTGTCTTCACATGGTGGGTCTGCCTCACATTTGGACAAGGTGTCCTTATATCCCCTCTTGCTCTCTCCTTTTCAAACTCTGAAGCTCTTAACCATTACTATTATTCAAAGAAATCTTCGTACCCCAAGAACCCTCCAGAATCACTTATCTGTAGGATTATAGCCCATCTCCTTGGAGTACATTATTGAGAAAGGCTATAGAGGAGAAACATTTTCCAGACACATTCATACAGAAAGATCCTCTTCCTTCTTGGCTATCAGAAACCTTGGACAGGGAATTCTAGGCTGAAAATAATTTCCCCTTAGAACTTGAACAGCACTGTTTGCTGGAGTCACTGAGCCCTAGTTTGGGCTTTGTTCCCAGATTCCCCTTGGCTATTCTCTGATATCTTTTTGTACAGATAATCTAAATTACTTGTCATGCCATTCCACCTCAAAAATTCATATGAACACCATTAAGTTTTAGAAATTTAACTAGATGCTTTAAGTACCAGTGAAAAGCATGTTCTTGCTTTATGTCCTATTTATAATTTCACAATTCGATACGTTTAGTTTTCTTTTTTCTTCCCCAGTACAGGGGACTGAATCCAGCCCTTATGTATGCTAGGCAAGCACTTTACCACAGTCATAGTTAAATTTATGCGTAAGCTGGGATGCATTTGTGGCCCCGGTAAAAGGTTAAGGGAAGAAGATCACTGGAATCTAGGAGTTCAAGTCCATATATATATATATATTTTTTTTTTCTATTTTTCCATTTTCCCACGGTCTTCACTCTGCCTCATCTAAACATCTGGCCCTGGACCAAATGGTTCAGCTTGACACTGAAGTCAACGTGCTGATGTATAAACGCTGTCAGAGGAAAAGCAGATGTGTCTATGCATGCTTTCTTCTAGCCTGTGGTGTAACATGGCGGCTGAGCCATGTTGATACTGCCCACTCCACCAGCCTCTTCCTTGACATTTAGAGATTGATGGACAAGAACTGGGAACCCCACCCTTGTTTCTGTCAAGCTACTGTGCTCTGCTGAGCAGAAGTGGGGGAAAGGGTCCTTCCAGCCCACACTAGGGAAGTAATGTCCATTTTGGTGCTAATGGAACCTTAGTTCTCATTTTAAAGTCCCTTTGATTAGGCCAGCTTTTAGGTTACATTGTGCAGGAAGCAGAGCTACAAACAGTTTTTATGGCTCATGAGATTGCAATGCCAAACTAGTCCCTAAAAAAGACACACCATTTTCAGCTTCAATAATTGTGTTCTTCCCCTCCCCCATACATAGCCTTACCTGCCCAATGTGTCAAGCTAAACACTGTATTTTGTTGTTTTAACTTGTATTATTGGGTTACTAATAAGGTTTAAAGAGACGGCATTTCTAAACCAAATATTTTAATTACAATTCTGCTTAGATCCTCTAGTAGGATTCAAACGAAAGTATGTTTTCTAAGAAATTGAACACAGAATAAACAGTCTATACTGGAGAACTGCCTCAAAAAGCTCTGAAATAGTGTAACATGGAACATGATAGGGGTGATTATTTGTTCATAAAAATGACTTTTGCTCATTTTGATAGAGGTGGGACAACAGTGACCAGGGGTCACCATCCCAATGCCCTTCCACTATGAGCTGTTGTGGCTGCTGTGCTGAGGCCAGGCAGCAGAGGAGGGGATACCCAGTGAAGAGGCTGGGGAGCAGAGCCAGTGTCCTCACTGGAAGCTCTGCCATACAGGTGAGGACAGAGTGAGAGGCTAATCTTCTGTGTCAGCCCTGTGTGAGCCTGGGCCATCTCCTTCAGGCTCCCATCCCAGCTTGGCTAGTAAGACTGTACTGGTGCAGTATCTTTCTGCAAATAAGTGGGAGAAAGGATTTGACTCATGCTCATATTCAATTTCGGATATGAACATAATCACTCTCCACTCTATAACCTGACTGTGGGCTGTGTGGAAGAGCTCTACAGGCTGACATCTGTAGACTGTATTTCTAATGAAAACAAAATACCTCACCCAAATCTCCCAGCAACTGTAATGTGCACTGTGATTGCATATTCCTTTAATACCATACAGATATCCTCATTTATTCGAGACAGTCTCAAGTACCCAGGCTGGGCTTGACCTTACTGTGTAGCTAAGGACAACACTGAATTCCTGATCTTCCTGTCCCCACCTCCCAAGTGCTGGGTTTATAGGCATGCACCACTGTGCTCAGTTCTTATTTTTAATTTTGAACTAATCAATTTTCTTTGGTACTAGGGATAAAGTCCAGGCCCTCATCTATCTTAAGCACAGGCTATACCTCTGGGTCCTGACCCTTTATCACATTATTTTTATATTTCAACTTTAATACATTTTAGAAACATTATATTTCCCTTAGTGCCCTTTTTGATAGTTGTGTATGCCACACAGTACTCATACTGAGTACACAAGATCACAGGGCAGAGTCTGGACCATGTTCACTCACCCAAAAGGGTCTGGAGTAGTTATGTTCCCTTTGAAGCCCAATCTGAAATATGTCCCTTCTGGTAGAACCTGCCCAGTGGTACTGTCACCTTAGGGAAATTACCCTCATTAAAAGCTCCATACATACTCCGTTGATCTTGTATTGATGGGTGTCAGCCGACACAGCATTTTGGCACTCCTTCTCTGTAATGGATGGATTTGGCCTCTCTCAGTGCACCTCCACCCCTACTCATGACATTCTGAGCTGTAGCCATTGCTTCTCCACTTAGGGTGCAGCCAGGATGGGGCCAGATAGCAGGCCAGTGGTGACTCCAAGCCTTAGGTGCTAGAGGCCAAACTCAACCAGACTTGACAAGGAGGCTGAGAAGTCAAACAGATCTGAACATGACACTCCTGGTACATTATGCTGACTCCTTAATTGCCTTGTAGTGGTCCTTTACCATTGGCACTCCTTGATGACATCAGCAAAGACCCAGAAAAAGAAACTCAAGCAGATGTGTGGGAAACAGGGGCCCCTGCCCTGTAAGGGTAACAGAAACAAGAATACTGCTGCCAGCCTGCCCTGATGCACATTTCCACATGCGTAGGAGGCCACTGGGCAGCTGGCAGGGTGCCTGGTGCAGTAGTCTCAGGGATCCAGAGTGCGACAAGAGGTTTTGGTCACCAGGAAGCAATGCCCATGATACAAAGTGTGACAGCAAACACTCACTGGCTCATTATTTTCCAACAGATCTGAACTGACTGGCAGACAAAGAAGCCAGGCCCGTTGGCTACAGATAAACACATCACTTTCAGGAAGACTCAGGTTTTAGAACGTGTACAGCCATTTTAGGAAGACCTGCTCATTTTGAAATTTGTTATGCTCACTATTTACATAATTATTTTGTAACATCACACCAGAAAGGAAGGAGGGAATGGGAAATCAAGGGGGCAGGGAGGGAATGACTCTGAGGTCACAATCAGATGCCCTACTATGTCCTTGGCCTCTATGATGGGTGGTGGTCCCCCATTCTGCTCCTCTCCAGGCCCCTCTGCTGGGTTTTCCCTGTGCTTCTACTTTGCTGTGGACAGGGCTTGAGTGCATTCCAGAAAGCTCTTGTACTGAAATCTTGCCCAGCAGCATGTGTTTAAGTAATGGAACCTTTAGGGTGAGAAAGTAAAGCAGGTGACTGGGAATCTTACTCTCTGAAGAGATCAATGCAGTTCTCATGGGACGCTGATTACTTCCCATGAGAGTAAATTATTATAGAAAGAGCAAAGGTGGCCCCTGAATATCTTTGGCTTCCTGTCTACCCTGCATCCCTCTCCCACACATGGTCTCACCGCTGTAATGCAACCCACTGTGAGATCCTCATGAGAGGCCAATCAGATATGACAGCCTCAATTTTGGAATTTCAGCTTTTAGAGCTCTAAATAAACCTCTTTTCTTGACAACATACACAGTTCCAGGTATTTTTCTATAGTTATGAAAGCTGCTTAAGACAGTTCCCTTAAGATCAGCCATCTATCTCTACCCTTCCAACATTACTAGGCAGTACAAATTCAGAACACTGCTTCATCTCAGGAAGTCCTGCCACATAACCAAATCTTCATGGATTCCTCCCACACCCATTCTTCTAGCTCTGATTTCCCACCTGAACTCCAGATTTGTTGTTTGCCTGACTAATGCAACAACACCATATTTTAGACATCTCAGACTTAACATGATAAACTGCTTGTTTTTTCCTCTTAAGCACTACATGATCTTACTTAGCCTGTCTCAAAATTTATAAAGCACCCCACATTGGTGATGTTTTGAAAAAATTACCTTTTCAGTGCTAGAAATTGCTGTATTAGTGCTCTGTCATTAGCCACACTGCCAGTCTTATAAGATACTCTGTAATGGTTATTTGTGTGTGTGTGTGCTAACTTGGCTATGTCTGGTATCCAAATATTTAGCTAAACATCATTTATTTAGAATTTTATTACATTTATTTATCTATTTAATTAGAGAGTGTGTGTATGTGAAAGTGCTCATGTGTGGAAATTAGAGAATATTTGTGGGAGTTGCTTTTCTCCTTCTACTATGTGTGTCCCGGCTATGAAATTCAGGTTGTTAAGCTTGGGAGAAAGTGCCTCTACCAGTTGAACCATCTTACCAGCCCTCTAGGCAGGTATTTAAAAGATGAGATTAGCCAAGACATGGTGGCACACACCTTTGACCCAGGATGCAGGAGGCAGAGGCAGAGGCAGGCAGAACTTTGTGAGTTTGAGGACAGCCTGGTCTATATAGTTAGGTGGGATTAACATTTACATTGGTGGACTTTTCATAAAGTGGATGACTCTCTAGAACATGGGTGAGTCTAATCCAGTCAGCTTAATGGAAAAAAGATGGACCTCCTTTAAGAGAAGGGAATTCTGCTACCCCTCCCATCTTTACTCACGGCATTGGCATTGGAAGAAACTTGGCAAAAGAAAGGTCACAGCTAAACCAAGGTTTTCTGTAGAAAGCAGGTGACAGGATCCTGTCAGTGACCACAGCAAACTGTTCTTCTTGGTAACAAATGGCATGCACTGAGAAGGGCAGCTGAAGATAGGACCCCACAGTGCAGTCACATTCTGTTCCCCGTCCGTTCCTGATGTCTGCTCTAGCTCTATTAACCCTCCCAACACTGTCTTAGTTAGGGTTTCTATTGCTGTGAAGAGACACCATAATCATGGCAACTCTTATAAAGGAGAGCTTTTTTGTTCTTTCCATTTTTTGAGACAGGTTTCTCGGTGTAGCTCTGGCTGTCCTGGAGCTCTTTTTGTAGACCAGGCTGTCCTGGAACTCACAGAGATTCACCTGCCTCTGCCACCTGAGTGCTGGGATCAAGGGAGGGGGCTACCATGCCCAACTAAAGGAAAACATTTAATTGAGGCTGGCTTACAGTTTCAGAGGTTTAGTCCATTATTATCATGGCATACAGGCTGGCATGGTGCTGGAGAAGGACCTGAGAGTTCTACACCTTGATCCGCAAACAATAGGAAGTGAACTGTCTACTATACTGACTGAAGCTTAAACATAGGAGATCTCAAAACTCAACCCCCACAGTGACACACTTCTTCCAATTGGCCACACCTACTCCAACAAAGCCACATTTTAATAGTTTAGGGGCCATTTTCTTTCAAACCACCATACCCCAGTAATGCATGGCCGCACAAGCTCCACTGCTCTCCTAGAGAAGTGGGGTGGTGCAGGCAGAGACTTACTTTCTCCTGACTGTTCAGCTCCTGGTATGGGATGTGGGCAGGCAGGTAGGTGTGCAGCAGAGCACAGAGGGCCAGCCCATCGCTCCAGCTGCTGCTGAAATTGGTGATATCAATGTTCTGTGGAGAGAGAAAAGCTAGTGTTAACCCCACACTGCACTGTCAATAACATGAGCCAGATAACGTGATACAGGTGTGTCTATATGTTTGGGCAAGGCAACAGAATGAACTGCATTTTTTGGGGGACTGTGTTTAACTCTGATAGCAGGAATGGCCTGTTGTGGTCCACATGCATTCACAGGTATATAAGTGGGGGAAGATCAGACCATTGGGAATTGTTGCTTAACCCCTGGGGGAGCCACTAAAGCCCGATATAAACCTTGTTTCAAATTACTCCCCAGATAAGCTTTGTCTATCAAGAATTTCCCAGGCGTATTGGCTAAGGGAGAGCGATCATCACAACCATCATGACCACTACCATCATTACCATCATTATTGCCATCACCATCATCATCATCACTACCACCACCATCATCATAACTACATATAGCACAATAAGATCAGACAAAACAAGAGCATGGAGCTCAAGCTACCATTTCTTCTGTTCTATATTCCCTTCCTTAACTAGAGCAGCTTCCCAACAGTCTCCCTGCAAGCACAGAGAACAAGCAAGCACAAGAGAACATTCCTCCAGTGGGGAAGGAGACTCCTTCCACATGATAGGCAGCGAGTGGGTGTGGCTGCTTGGCACACAGTGATAAGTGATAAGCAAGGTCATCTTTCCAAAGACTTAAAAGATGCCCACAGCCTGGGGAGTAGGTACAGCGGGTAAGGGCATTTGCAGTCAAACCTGATCACCTGAGTTCAAACCCCAGGAACCACACAATGGAAGGAGAGAAACAATACCTGATAGTTGTCCTCTGACCTCCACATACATATAGTGGTACACACCTAAATGTAATAGTAATGGAGACTGTTTGTGTGATGATTTACTCTTTACTCTTTTGGCTCTTTAAGTCTTTTTACTTTTGGGGTTGGAGGTTCACCACTCAGCTCTCATGGAAGCTTATTCTCAGTTAGGAATGCCCAGTGGTAGCTTAGCTTGTTTCTAGCCAGCTTTTCTTAAATTATCCTGTCTACCTTTTGCCTCTGGGGTTTTCCTTTTCTTACTTCTGTATGTATATCTTACTTTCACTCTTACTTGGCAGCTGGCTGGGTGGTTGGGTGAGTGGTTGGGTAGCTGGGTGGGTGACTGTGTGGCTGGGTGGGTGGCTGGGTGACTGGGTGGGTGGCTGGGTGACTGGGTGGCTGGCTGGGTGATTGGGTGGGTGGGTGGCTGGGTGACTATGTGGCTGGGTGACTATGTGGCTGGCTGGGTGGCTGGCTGGGTGGGTGGCTGGGTGACTATGTGGCTGGGTGACTATGTGGCTGGGTGACTATGTGGCTGGGTGGGTGGCTGGGTGACTGGGTGGGTGGCTGGGTGACTATGTGGCTGGGTGGGTGGCTGGGTGACTGGGTGGGTGGCTGGGTGACTGGTTGGGTGGCTGGGTGACTATGTGGCTGGGTGACTATGTGGCTGGGTGGGTGGCTGGGTGACTGGGTGGGTGGGTGGTTGGTTGGGTGGCTGGGTGACTATGTGGCTAGCTGGCTTGGTGGTTCGGTGGGTGGTTGGGTGGTTGGTTGGGTGGCTGGGTGACTGGGTGGCTGGGTGACTATGTGGCTGGGTGACTGGGTGGGTGGCTGGGTGACTGGGTGGCTGGCCCCTGATGTCCCCCTCCCCGTGTTCTCTCGTTGCTCCTCCTCTTCCTCATTTCTCCTCCTATTTATTCCCCCTGCCTGCCAGTCTCACCTATCCTTGCTCCTGCCTTGCTATTGACCATTCAGGTGTTTTAGACAGGCACAGTAACACAGCTTCACAGAGTTAAACAAATGCAACATAAACAAAAGTAACACACCTTAAAATAATATTCCTCAACAGGAGACAGGGGTTTGGAATCTGGGACCTCAACCCAATGGACTCAAAGGTTAAAAAGTGAGCCACCACAGGAGCATAGTCTAAAATGATAAAAGCCAGGCTGAGTGTGTCCTGACTCTCTGTCTGAAGGAGAATCTCTTGGATAAGTTCTTTCTCTTTTACTCTATCATATCCTAACTGCCCTCAATTCTTTGCTGTTCCCTTACTGTGGATAGATTGGCCTCTATGAATATGGAAATGAGTCCTATGTAATAAGGCATTTCTTCCGAGCATCACATTCAAAGGAAAACTTCAACCCACCTGCATTTCTAATCTGTGTGGCCATTTAAAATAAAAAGACTGGGGATAGAGAGATGGTTCAGTGGTTAAGAACATTGGCTGCTCTTTCAGAGGACCCAGGTTCAATTTCCAGCACCCACATGGCAGCTGATAACTATCTGTAACTCCAGTTTCAGGGATCTGACACCCCCCACACAGATAAACATGCAGGCAAAATACCAATGCACATAAAATAAAGGTAAATAAATAAAATAAAAAGGCCAAAGTCATTCACACACCAAGTCATAGCTTGACTAAAATTGTAGTTTTCCAGTTCTGACATTGTTTTGTTTTGTTGTTATTTTTTCATATTTTTTTTTTAAAAGAACTTCTTAGGATAGAGATCTTATTCCACTGAGGCTTTATCATCAGCGAGAGAAAGAGGCAATTGTGGTATTGTTTAGCTCTTGTCCAGCAATGGCATCACATAGACACCAAAGCATTCCTTATAGGCTTTGCCAAATGGCCCTGGTTACACTCCAGAACTTGACATTAAATCCCTGCTGAAGACATCACATACTTGAGTCGCAGAACATAGAAAAATCAAGGTGGTACTGACTTGGACGGATTAGGCATGCTTTCAAAGGAGAAAATGACTATCATTCTCATCTAGTTGTGAACCCCACAAACTACAATGAATGCTAGCCTGACAAGATATACCTGCTGTTGCAATAGTGGCAGAGATGTTACAGGAGTGACCAACCACTTTCTGATTAGCTCCAAAGCCCACACCATGAGATGAAAGGCATATCTAACACTGTTTAAGGGAGGGATGGAGGGAGAGAGACAGAGAGGAGAGAGAGGGAGAGAGGGAGAGAGACACACAGAGAAACACAGAGAGAGAGATAGAGAGAAAGAGAGAGAGAGAGGAGAGAGGGAGACAGAGAGACAGAGAGAGACAGAGAGAGAGAGAGATGAGAAAGAGGGGGGAAGATCATTGCTGGTTATTTCTTATCAACTTGATGCATACCTAAGAGTTATCTGGAAGGAGGAAGCACACTGAGGCAATGCCTCCATCAGATTACCTGTAAACAAGTCTGTGTGGCTTTTTTTTTTTTTTTTTTTTTTTTGATTAACCAGTGATGTGGGAGAGCCCAGCTCACTATGGGCAGTGACCCCCCCTGGGCAGGTGGTCCTAGATTCTATAAGAAAGCAGGCTGAGCAAACCACAGGGAGCAAGCCAGTAAGCGGTGATCCTCCATGGCCTCTGCTTCGGCTCCCGCCCTGACTGCCTTTGAGGATGGGCTGTGATGTGGAAGAATAAGCAAAATAAACCCTTTCCTCCACCCGCCCCTCCCCTCTGTGCTTTTGCAATAGAAATTTAACTTGGAAAAAAGAAATCTCAAAGTTGGGAGGGAGGTAGAGAGGGTAGTTATGGGATGAATGGGAGAGGGTAGTAAACGGTCAAAATGAAATGTATGAAATTGTATGAAACTCAAAGATTTAATTAAAAATATTGTTAAACACTCCCAACACACACACACACACACACACACACACACACACAAAATATCCTGGCTGGAGTAAAGTAAGCTCAAGAACATTTGGAACACAGCCAGTGTTCTCTACTGTCTTTTAAAAAATTCATTTATTTCCTATGTATTAGTGTTTTGCCTGCATGTATGTGTGTACCATGTGCATGCCTGGTGCCTGTGGCGGCCAGAAGAGGACATATGACCCCTGGAACTAGAGTTATAGATGGTGTGAGCTACCATGTGGGTGATGAGATGAGACTCCAACCCAGGTGCTATACAAGAGCAACAAGTACTCTAAACTACCTAGCCATCTCTCCAGTCCACAAAAATTAGTGTTTCTAATTCTTTAGTGGCTACCCTCATGTGCGTCTCCATAGACACTTGGGGATAGAGTGTGATGACGGAGAGCAGGGCGTTCTGCCTGGTCTCTCTGAGGGCCTGGAGTAGGCACGTGGGATGCCCCTTTCTGCTCCACTCTCCATGCCTTTCTAGCACTTGTCTCTATCTCCTTAGGATCATTACGGGAAATCTGCCTTCATATCATTATGGGACATCTGCCTTCTATTTCCTTGGACAACAAGCTACTACATAGCCTCAAGAGTTGGGATAAGTCTGATCCTGAGGATCTAAGAAAAACAACAACAGAGGTTAATAATTTACTGTAATACTGACTGGCCTCAATACAGAGAAAGAGGAAATTAGTCAAAAGATAAAATCTTAAACTCTAATATCATCCTACAGCTGGACCTACTTTGTAAAAATCAAGGGAAGTGATCTAAAGTGCCTTATATAAAGGTCAGCATGGCTGTCGGTAAAATTCCTCCCCCGGAGGTGATGAAACAATGTCCATTCCTTCTCCAACGAGTCCAAAGACAAACTAATGAGGTGCAATTCCACCAACATGTACTATGAGGAATTAATGAGCTAATTAGGTGTATTTACAGAGCAATGTGTAGGGGCTGTGGGCAGGAGCATGGGTGGCCTTAAAGTGCCACACTGGGAGGTTTGCACCCAGTGGGGATGACAACTCTTCTATAGCTACCTAGATGGAGCCCACCTGCCTAACCTAACTCCTTTCCAGTCCTATTTTCTTCTTGCCCCTCCCTGATGCCGAACATAGTTAAGGACCAATTGCATACACCTAGTCAGGAGGAGTAGCTAGCTACTCCAATGAGGATCACCTAGGCTTCCCCATCCCTCCTCCTATAAGGGAGAGTCAGCAGTCAACTAGCCCAGCAGGAAGGATCCTCTGCAAGCAAGCACAGCTGAACTCATGGAGGTGCTGACAGTTTGGCTCAGAGGATAGCTCTGTACTACAACAGTGACTCTCTATGAGGATCAATGACACTGAA